GAACTCGGGCTTCTTGAGGGTTCCCCCCGGAAGCTGTGGGAATGTGTTGCGGAAAGTTGTGATGCCCTGTGTTTGCATTTTGAAGCGACTCTTTTGAGACATTGAAGTGTCCCAACTATGAGGACACATGTCAGCTGAATGACGGAAAATGAAATCGTAAATTCGTACATGTAATATGCTGTCAGTAGAGTGGTGAAAAGAACGACGTATGTAGGTGTAGAGAATTGATAGTTAGAGGGATCGTGCGAAGCCATGTATACCACAGAGTATACGTAAGTCTGCAACGCCACAGATCAGTAAAAGTGAAAACATGATTGGAGTTGCGTACGAAGGGAACGCCAGCAAAGTTCCAGAAAATGACCATGAAACCCCATCTAAGAAAATGTCAATCAAATAAATGAGCATAAGAATTACTACCCACTTCTCATGATACATATCCCACGTTTGGGGGATACACTCTTCGCCCTTCGCGCTGAAAATTGGATCAGGAACGCAAGTTATAAATTCTCACATTGAGACACACCATGCATTAAGGTAGAGCCATGTTGCCAGAATCATGAATGCCATGTTCTACATATGTTTGTAGGCTATTGCGTGACTGAAGCTCTAAAAAAGGGACGCACTGGGGTGACATAACCATATTGTTCATACTGGTGGCAGCCTCCGGACACGGCCAAAAAGAAAACAATTACCCAAGGAATCCGAACCTCAGCCCACATCTTCAGATCAACAGAGCCGATACGGGGATTCAAACAAGCACCCATGAAGACGTCATAGATGAAGTTCCCAGACATGCGGATCTCGTTTCCGGCTGCAACTGTAATAAAATACATACCAAAGGACACAGCGAAACCGTAAATCATGGCGACGGACATGATGTGGCCATAATTGTCGATAATTTCGGTGAGACGGAAGATGTGGTAGTAGTGCAGAGCAGCAGCAGTCAGCATAGTTGCGTAGAGAGAGTAGAGCGCATTGCAGTTATACATGAGGGTCTTATACCCAAGAGAAGGTACAGGAAGTCCTTCTTGTTGGTACCCTGGCATGACCAATGCGAGGAAGAGCTGATAGATCACGAGACCGGTATAGACTTTCCAAGCGTATGCATTGGGGCTTGCATCCTGTAGTTAGTTGAGGTTAGGAAGATGACCAAACCTTCATGAGTACATACGTCGCGAATGTGTGCCCACATCTTCCCAAGGAACGGAACAGTGTCCTCAAATGATGCAGGGTACACAAGTTTACCGTCATAAAACCACAAGCATATCCAGAGATAATACATGAGCATGGGGAAGCCGAGCATCATTGCAGTTACTCCTGCAGGTCCACCGAATTCATACCTAGCAGACGTTAATGTGAAATAGTAAATACGCGTAAGTAAGGCAAAACGTACGTCTGATGCTCGTCGAGCAATTGGTCCACTTTACGGCCCTCATCAGTAGTCGTCAGTGACTTTGCAGACGCGTCGACACTGCGCTGTCTCAACTCGCTCCCTGTGCTGCCATAAGACTGAACCATTTTGTGAAACGAGGTAAGTCTCAAAGTGGAACGAGACAGAAATTAATGTTAAACATTCGCGGAGTTAGCATTATACTTTAATCTCCGTTTGAACTTTGTTTTGATCTCCTTTCCCGATAGCCACGTTTCTCGTGTAAACGCTCATCATCTTCTACCCAGGCGAGACCAGACGACGTGTGCTCACTTCATCTGTCTGTAGTCAACGTGTTGGTCAGTTTTGCACTGATTTCATTGTCGTGTATATCGTAGCAGCCGTCCAACAATCCATTCTTTGCCTCTTCATGGCTTCTTCAGTTTTTTACAAGTTCAAGTCCCAGAGGGATGAGTCTCGAGTGACCTTTGATGGTACCGGGATCTCTGTTTTTGACCTGAAAAAGGAAATCATATTGGCCAATAACTTGGGTAAGGCAAATGACTTCGACTTATATGTATATGATGCTTCGGCACAGCAAGGTGCGTCGTAAATGCATCATTCCACATCTGAGACTTCATGTGCATTTCAGAATACAAAGATGATTCTCAGATCATTCCTCGTTCTTCGTCTGTCATTGTGAAGCGTCTCCCTTCATCGCGCCCAGGAAAGGGCAAGGCAGCCATGTATCTTAGTGGTACCAATGGTGGTACCCACACTCCTACTTCTGATATTATCCAGAGACCTGGTGGAAGTAGTGGTTTATGGCACAAGGGTGCGATGTCGAGGCGCTTTGACGTCAAAGAGGAACCATCTCCTACATCAAAATTAGCTGGCGTGCGTAGTTGTTATATGAAACATACACATCTCGCTCGAGAGCGAGTCTTACACCCAATGCAGCCAACTTCTATTCCCAAAAACGCCGTCACAAAGGACGATGAGGCAGCCGCGATGGCTGCCATGTTCCAGGCCCAGACTGCTAACTGGGAGGAAACCCAGGAAAAGATGTCTCAGTTGGTATCGCGTTTTCGCGCTTTTTGTCTTAGTAGTAGAACGAGTCTCATGAACGTGATTTTGCTTTCTTGTGCCCATCAATTGGGTGTAAACAGCGCTGTGCCCATATATAACAACCCCAGGGGAACATCTACTAGTCGTGGTGGGAAACCATTTACTCCTCACCAACGTCCCCAGCCAGAACGACCGTTGCCTCCTAGCTATGTTTGTTACCGATGTGGGCAGAAAGGTCGGTCGCTGCGCAATTGTAGACTGACTGTCTTACACGTAAATCTCTCACAGGTCATTGGATACAAGATTGTCCTACGAATAGCGATCGTGAGTTCGACAACAAGCCTCGAATCAAAAGGACTACTGGTATTCCGCGAAGTTTCTTGAAAGCTGTTGAAAATCCAAATAAAGGCGAGATCACCCAAGGTGTGATGGTCACACCAGAAGGTGGTTATGTCGTTGCCCAGCCTGACTTGTGGGTCTTTGATTCGTTCCATGATGGGATGCATTTTAACTCGACGGCAGGGCTTCTTGGCAGAAACAATTATCCCGTCCGAAGGGTTTGACTGCTGCTGACGTTCGGGAACGCCCTCCTACCGATGCTTCCCTTGCCTGTCCTATAGACAACAGATTATTCCGTGACGCTGTCAAGACGCCTTGCTGTGACACTTCATATTGCGAGGAATGTATCCAAACATATTTACTTGAGCGCGATTTTACCTGCCCCAAGTGCGGCAAGAAGATAGCTTCACTTGACAAAGTTGTCATGGATAAGCCAATGCGAACGAGGGTCGCTGACTATATCGATAAGGTTATGGAAGAGAGTAGAAAAGAAAGTGAAGAGAGCTCCGCACATTTCCTTTCTAACGGCCAGGTATGTTCACTGTTCACGTTGTTGTGTTTAGAGAATGAACATATCCCGCGTAGGGTGATGTGGACAACTCTATAAATGACGACTTCTATTCAGATCAGCAGCCTAGCATGGATATGTCTCAGATGATTGTTGACAACATTCCGTCCCTTCAAGCTCAGATTTCTCAAATATCAATCATGCTTCAAAATCCATCCCTACCGAACCAGGTGCGGCAGACTACAGAAATCAAGTATCAGCAGCTCCAGATGCAACTACAACAAGCTCAAGCCATCGCCGCGACCCTTGCTGTTGCGACCAGTCTTCAGCAGCAGCAGCAGCAACAGCAACAACAGCAACAGCAGCAGCAGCAGAACGTCAATCCCTTGGCCTACGGGATGCAAAGCCAGCAGTGGACCAATCAGTTTCCGAGCCAACAACCAGTTGGCCATGACTCTGCTTATCAACGATTGCCCGTCAACAATCGCCGCCGGAACTTGAAGCGGGATCGTCCTTCAGATTTCTTAGATGTCACTGGTGAAAGTGAACACAAAATGCCGAGGTATTGGGAGTAATTCGAAGTCCTTTGGATGGAGAGGGAGGACTACATTTGTAGCCTGCACAGATAGCTAATATGCCGCACTTTGCATGTATACACAAACATTGGCAAAATATAGTTATTTTATCCTGATATGTCTGATATATAGACAGCGTTGCGAATCGGGTGCTATCTTTAGTGTGAACACGGTACCACGGCGGCCCATGACTCGGAGGCCAGGCTTGCCCGTTGAACACGACTTTAACTCGAGTATGACTGCAAGTCTCGCGAGCTAAACCTGTCCATTTTCCAAGCACGCTAGACTCGTGATCATTCAAGTTAGGCAAACCGGGCAGACAATTCGCCAATCTAATTTCCGAGGTGGTTTAATTTGCATGCAAAACTTGAATGCGTTCCAATTCACAACGTGCCGGGTGCGAGCCAGAGCTCAGCGCTAGCACCCAGCACCACCTCTGAGTACTACGAAACTACGAGATCTAAGTGATTCATTTTGGGCGGTTTATCATGGATCCAGCGACCAAAAGTTCTGAGTCTGATGTCCCTGCGATGCTGATGGATTCAAGTTCTCCAGCTCGCGAAGCTGCCGAAGAGTCCAGGACAGGGACCGCCATATTGACGCATGGACAAGTCGCGACACCTAGGCGGCCTACATCCGAGTCTAATGTCACACTCTTGCCCGCTAGACCTCTCTCGTACGTCGAACACACACAAGCCGTAGAGTTTGGCGCTGGCTCTAGTTCAACGCAGGCGGACGCTACTCTTCAACCATCAGAGAAGCATTTGTCGTCGAAAACAGATGAACCGTATCCTGCTAGGCACTCAAGGCACGGTGCCCAAACCCGGGCCTCTTCGGGAGAATTTGACCACCTCGCGCGTGGAACGAGTCGGGGTAGAGATTTCCTCCCTCGGAGGGCGACTTTGTTGGCACAGCGGTATCCCAGTATCCCAAGTGACTTGATTCCAAAGACTACCTTGCAGGCGAGCTTGAATTACTCTTCTCTAGGGGACACATCTTTAACTGTCTATCTTCCAGCCTAACCTCACCGTCGGGGACCGCCTACAACCAACTATCACCGCAGCTGAAGATGAAAGAGTCAAGTACACAAAAAAAGGTGCATTTTTACGTTTCTCACCTTTTCGAGCTGAAAACTTGAAATATGTTCTACCGCCTGATTGTGCCTTCAGCGATGTGGACAGGCTATGCGCTGAACATTGCCATCGGTCTGCAGGTTCTTCTCGCTAGCCTGACTACTGGTTTATCTGCTGTCGCAGTTGGAAAACAGGTGAACGACTTGAGGAACTTGTGATGTCTTCAGCTGATGAACGACAGGGCTCCGTCGTGATCGTGATACTTGGTAAGCGACGCGTGGAATAATAGGATTCTATATATAGCTGACTGTTTAACTCATTTCAGGGGCGCTTGCTACTCTAGTCGCATCATACCTTGCTCGTATGCGTGGTTCAAACGAACCAGAGCTCTCAATCACCCGAGTAAAAGACCTTGACCACTTTATCCGAGACTGCAGGGCGTTCCAGCTAGATCACGGCAACGAATATGGAACCGCTGAGAATGGGCTCAATAAAAGAGTGGATGAGCTCCGGTCCAAATTCGAGGAATTGCTTGGGAATGGAGATGGGTGCGTACAACTCAAGCATGCGGTTATTTTTTTTCGCTGACCCTGTGGTAATTCTGTAGTCAACGAAAACTGTCTTCCGTTTAATCTTTCCGTGCCTCTATGTTGATCGGATCGTATAATTTTGTCTACTGTCGAGTTGTATTGCATCGGATTTCATTTTCGCTGTGCACATTGTTACATTATATTTCATAGTTTACTCAGTAGGAAAACCTATAGAGCGATTTCTTCCAATGGTACCGCTCACCGCCAGTGGTAGTGAAATTGCCTTGTTTTCGTAATCCTGCGGACCTCGGTCCGGGAACAGCACTCGTTTGTCACGATGTCACGAGTGTTACGGCACGCGTCCATAACGTGACGCGACGCGTTTGTCATATTGAATCAACGTGTTCGTTTTCTTTTTACTCCATCACATTCTTCAGTCATGGTTAAGGCCAAAGCTAATGCCAAGCAGAAGGCCATCACCTCCTTCTTTGGTGGGAAGAAGGAGCCAAAGGAATCCGTCGATGAAGTTGTCGCAGAGGAGACATCATCTGATGATGGTGGAAAACCTCAAGCCGTCGTAAAGAAAGCACTTGGAAAGAAGATTAAGAAGCAGAAAGTCAAGGATGATGATGAAGAAGTATCTGATGATGATATTCCTGCTCAATCTTTAAAGACAGACGGCAAAATCGAATCATCCACTTTACCACCCATCTATGAAACTCCCGCCATGTTCCGCGACCTAGTGTCTCGCCTTCCAGGAATCAAAGATGTCGCTGAGCATATCAAAGGTCGAAAACTGCGCGTAGCTACGATGTGTTCTGGCACAGAATCACCTCTACTTGCTCTCGATCTCATTGGCCAGGTTATGCTTGAACAGTATGGCGTTCCTCTTGAATTTGAGCACGTATTCTCTTGTGAGATCGAGCCATTCAAGCAGGCATATATCGAACGCAATTTCCAACCGCCGCTACTGTTTAGAGATGTATGCGAACTGGGAGAATCTCAAGCGTGTGTCATCCCTATATTTATTTGTGTTATGTCCGTTGAACAAACTATTTCATCTAGAACGACGGCCTATGGCGCATTGGCCACTGTCCCTGGAGATGCCGATCTCCTCGTTGCAGGTACATCCTGCGTTGACTACTCTAACCTCAATAATGAGAAGAAGACAATCGATGGCGGAGGCGAATCTGGTCGCACTTTTCATGGCATGATGTCGTGGGTCACAAATCACCGACCTCCATTAGTCATCCTGGAAAATGTTTGTTCAGCGCCGTGGGACAGGGTGAAAGAGTATTTCGAGAAGCAGGGGTACAGCGCAGAACACATTAAGGTGGATACGAAACAGTACTATATCCCGCATACTCGGATGCGGAAGTATCTGTTGGCTGTCGATAAGAGAGGGTCAGGCATACCCGCAAAATGGAAGGACTTAGTGATGAACAAGTTGAAGCGGCCCGCTTCGTCGACACTGGACGCGTTCCTTCTTCCATCTGACGATTCTCGCATTCATCAAGCAAGACAATTACTTGTTCAAGATGGCAGTGGCCCAGAGCCTCGAGCCGGTCGCACTGACTGGACTAGATGCGAGTCGCGCCACGCACGTGCTAGGTTAGATGAGAAGTTGGGGCAGAAACGACCGTTAACAGGTTGGGAAGAAGGTAAGCACCTATTGGGTTTCGTATTTTTCACCCTCGCTGACATCAAACAGGTGGTACTTGCAGACTACCTGACTTTGCATGGCAAGATTGGGGAATACGACAGGTAGAACGAGTCTGGGACCTAATGGATATCAGTCTGCTTCGATCCGCAAAAATTGGTGTTGACCCATCATACAAGACGTTCGTAGCATGTCTTATACACGTCCCCAAGTGGCTAATTGACTGACAGTCTCGTGTGGAACCTTTCGCAAAATGTCGATCGCTCAACCGGATCGAGCAAGACCGGTATTTGCCCTTGTCTAACCCCGTCCATGATTCCATACATCACCAATCGCGGTGGGCCCATGGTTGGTGTTGAGGCACTGGCCATGCAGGGGCTTCCCATTGATAAATTGCTTCTGACGAGAGAAAGCCAAGACGAATTGGCAGACCTTGCGGGAAATGCCATGTCATCAACCGTTGTTGGTGCATGCATACTCTCGGCTTTGGTCGCTGGTCAGAAGTTACTCAAGGCCGGTAACGACACGGAGACGTACGAGATGAAGAAGGATATCGGTCACAAGAACAAAGACCATGCTATGGATGTTGACGTTAGCCTATCTGCCGCCGTTGGTCTTGAAGAACGCATCAAAGGACACGAGGACCTTGTGGAGAGACCGTTAGATTTGGCTGCCACGCAAACGGACTCCATTGCCCGTATTTTGGAGGATGCACAGAAGAGTGTCCGTCTTTGTCAATGCGAGGGCCGCAAGGACATCACGACGCGTGACCTCTTGCGTTGCGTAGATTGCGACTCGTCATCTTGCAAGAGATGTGCAGGCCGTCCTGAGCACAGTTTCGCGCCTCTTGATGTTACGCAGTTGCCACGTCTTAGTCCTTCGGCATTCGTGCGGGGGCTGAAGTCCACTCTGCCTATGTGCATCTCTCTTACCGGTGTCGATAAGAAGCTTCTTGACAGTCTTAGAGAAACTTTAGGCGCCACAATCCCGGAAAAACGCTGGAACAGCTGGTCCTCTGCTGTGTTGAGGGCGACTAACTCAGAGCTCCGCTTTGTCGAACCTAAGCGCCAGGAGATTTGGTCTGCTGTTTATCGATCACCTCACGCTATTTTCGAATTATACCTCGAGCCGAGACAGACCGAGTGGCGCCTTTACGCGAAGCCAAATGACAATGAGCCTGCGAATGCAGAGATCCGTCGCTTACTCCAGATGCCCGTCGCGAGATTCAGATGCAAAAAGGATCTTCTGCAGGGATCTTGGCAGTTTGCTCTTCCTGTTGCACGTGAGGTCATGATTACTATCGAGGGCAGTGGAGGCACGGTTCCTTCTTGGGAAGCTCGTCTTGGCTTACTAGATGACGAGTTCAAGGACAAGGAGGTGCATTCACAGCTTCATATCGCCATCCCCGAATCTCAAATATCTCATTTTGATCGTGATATTTCCGGAGTGTATGTTCTCTACGACAAGTGTGGGACAGCCAACGGTGCTTTACACAAAAAGCTGCCTAGTGACGATGATGCCTCTTTGCCGCCACTTTTCATGATGCTGGATCCCACAAGATGCGGAAATCCTGCGGAAGATCCATTCGTCTTTACGACGAGCATGCGGCGATATGATTTCGGAGAGTTCCGCCCCATAATTTGCAAGCTCGACCCTTCATGGAGGCAGTCGGATGTTCAGGGGGAACAGCGCGTCAAATGTCATGTCCCTCTTCACTGGATGGACTCGGAGTCGGTCAAAGTTCAAGTGAGTTAATGTCAACACCACCTGCTTGCCTCCCAATTTTGTCTCACTCTCGAACTATAGCCCCTCGAGCTTGGCAATGCATCTTTTGCTGTGCCTAGAGGCACCCTTGAGGCCAGCGTTACGACTGACGCATGCGCAAGTGCCAATGCTCTATTAACGTGCACGGTGCCTCTTCTTGAAGATGCGGGTCCCGAGTGGCCTCGCGGCAATTGGAGAGAAGTCGACAAGGTTCACGAGCGTGGTACTTTCAAGGCCTTGGCTTGGCTGCTGGAGCGTATACGACATGTGGATGATAATTTCGGTCATTGGCAGACCGTCAAAGTTCCAGATGACTTGTTGCACTGCCAACGTTGTGCCCCCACCCCTCCCACTGTTAAGTGGACCAAGAATGGCAAGAAAGTAGCTGCTATTGAAGACAGCCAGGAGGCCGGGCAGTATGAAAGGGACCTCAAGCTTCGTCCGAGCCCTTTCGTCACGCAGTTGAAGATGGATAACCAAGTCGGTATGGTGAAAGTGGGGCTCAATATTGCTTCTATCCTGCACAGGGCTCTATCACGACTCCCTACTGCGAATCGCCCTGAGCAACCGGTGCTCAGTTGGCGATTAGATACTGACTTTGCTTCTTCCGTAAAGATCCACAACCATCCTTTCAAACTCCTCAGTAATAAATCCGATTCAGAGCATTCGCAGCCTCCAAACTTTGATTCGGACAAACTTCCTTTGCGTCCTGAACAGCTCCGTTCCCTCACTTGGATGATCGCTCGAGAAACGGCAAACTCCGAACCCTTCATTGAGGAAGAGATATCGGAGGCCGTACTGGAGCCTCTGGGGTGGCGAGCAGAAGGCCGGGCACAGCGGCCTGTGCATATTCGAGGTGGTGTTTTGGCAGACCAAGTTGGTTATGGGAAGACAGCAATCACTCTGGGGCTTATCGACTGTACAGCAAAGAGCGTAAAGAAGGAGTTCCAGGAGAAAGGCGATATCATTGGCAAGGTTCCTGTTCAAGCTACACTAGTCATCGTTCCTCCCCATCTCACAAGACAATGGCGCTCAGAAGCACAGAAATTCGCGCGCAACCGATTCAAGAACATTGTGGAGATTTCCACCGCCGCACAGATCAACAATCTCACCATTGAAGATATTCAGGATGCGGACCTAGTCATCGTCGCCTCCAATCTGTTCCAGAGCTCAGTATATCTTGCCAACTTGGAATCCTTCGCTGCTGGAGGCTCCCTACCTACTCAAGATGGGCGTTACTTTAATGTACGCATTGACATCACGCTGCAAGCCCTACGGGATCAAGTCGAACGACTGAAAACCGAAGGTTCCGCGAGCGTCATGGCAAATATCCGAGATGTTCGAAAACGCGGTAGGTTGAATATGTTTCTGCATGACGTAACTCACTTCCAGCAATAGAGGAAGAGTTGGAGGCGCAACTATTTGTTGCACCAAAGCGTCTCAAGGGGAAGGCCTATCAGGAAGCTGTAAGCAAAGAGAAGTCTTCAGTCAAGGTCGATGTCAGCGATTCTTCGTCGGAGAGAGACGCTTTCCCTGCCAAACCGACCTCGTCTGGCAAAATCTGCGAAGTTGTCATCACAGTGCCTCGAAAGAAGACGAAAACGGTCGCCCCGGAGACTTCGGATGGCGAGAATTCGGACTCACCACGCCCACGAAAGCGACTCCAACGCAAGACTTC